ATTGGAAGCTTAGTATATTCCTTGATGAAACAATGATTGTGAAATATTTAATAGGTTTGTCGATGTAAGAAGAAGTTCTCACGAAATGGAACATACTCCGGAGAATTTCGTCCATCACCATCTGTTATAAAAAGAAAACTATTGTTATTTTTGAGATATAGATTGTATTTTTGTATACTTAATGGACTGAAGAAAATTTAAGAATATATGTATGCACATTTGCAGTATTCTTGTTATTATTTTTGACTCTGTATACTGCAACCCCGGATTTGTTATTCAGTGGTTATGACAGCCTGCCAATTCTGTTTTTGGAAGAGGACAATGACCTGGAGCAGGGGGATGCTGCTCTATGGTGTAAAAAATTGAGAGACTCGTGGCCACTCCTTTGTAAAACCTTAAATGTAGCCAAAGAGGCGTACAAATGTCAGGCTGATAAGAGAAGGGTGGAGGGTTGGGCTCTACAGCCTGGAGACTCGGTCTATGTGTCTACGAAAAACATTCAGTTACTGCGCCCTAGTCGAAAGTTTGGCTGGAAGTACATTGGTCCTTTTAAAGTTAAGAAAGTTATCATGTTGCCGTGGAACTGGATTTGCCGAAAAACTTGAGGAAACTACATTCTGTGTTTCATTTTAGCCTCCTGAAAAGGGATTCTGGTTCCAGCCCTTGGCAACCATCGAAGCCTGTACCCCCTCCAATATTGATCGAGGGCGAGGAGCATTATGAGATTTCTAAAATCTTGGACTCTAAGATCAAACGTGGGAAGTTGATGTATTTGATTGAATGGTTGGATTTCGGACCCCAGCACCTTGAGTGGGTGGAAGTAGGGGATATCCGAGCCCCTAGACTGTTGCAAAAGTTTCATTGTGACTTCCCGGACAAACCGGGAGACCTCCCGGAATGACCGGGAGACCTCCCGGAATGGTTGGGAGAAGCTGATTTTTGAGAGGGCAGTCTGTCAGCTATGCTGCCATGGGGGTTGGGGAGGTCATTCTGTGTCTTGCTAATTGTTATTGCATTCCTATCCCTGCTGCTATGCCTTGGCTGTAACGTTTATCTCTACAGATGTGCAGGAGGACGTTGTGTTGTCTGGAGGGCTCCTATGTACCTTGGGAGACTCCTAGTTCTCAGCTTTAGCCACCTAACGGTTGCCTGACTTATCCCGCACGCGGGAGGGTCCCTAATTGGCCAATGCCCTGAGGGGTTGCATATGAATACTCTATATCCTATTAGACTCTAGTGGCTGTGGCCATTCCTAACAGTGCCTGTGTTACTGCATCTATAGCTTTGCAATAAAAGTATAACCATTCATGAATGCGTGTGCTTCGTTCTTAGCTGTGGGTTCTGACACAGCCACATGTTCTCTCAGAGCTGTTCTCTCAAGGGCCGTTTTCAAAAGAGCTCTCTCAGCCCCACCTACTTCACAGGCAGTGTTCCCTCTAAAGTGAGTTAGTGTGAGCTAGCTCACAGTTTTTTAGCCTCCAGCACGGATTTTTGTCTTTGCTCAGGAAGGAGGGCTCCAGAAACTAATTTATGCAGTAGCCAAATCACCCGCTCACAACTTTAATGCCAGTAGCTCATAAAGTAGAATTTTTGCTCACAAGACGCCACAGCTTAGAGGGAGCGTTGGTCACAGGGTGTCTGCTGTGGGGAGGGGGAGGGAAAGGAGATTGTAAACCGCTTTGAGACTCAGAGTGAAGGGCAGGGTGTAAATCCAATTTTCTTCCTCTTCAGTGTGATCCCTCCGCCCCATTACAGCAGTGGTTAAGAGCAGCAGACTCTAATCTAGAAGACAGGGTTTGATTCCCCACTCCTCCTCCCCCATGAAGCCTGCTGGGTGACCTTGGGCCAGTCCCAGTTCTCTCCGAACTCCCTCAATCCCACCTATCTCACAAGGTGTCCATGGTGGAGAGGAAGGGAAAGACACCTGTAAGCCACTCTGAGACTCCTTTAAGTAGAGGAAGGTAAAGGTAAAGGTTCCCTTGCTCGAAAGCCAGTCAAGTCCGACTCTAGGGTTGCGGTGCTCATCTCCGTTTCAAAGCCGAAAAGCCAGCGCTGTCCGAAGACCTTTCCGTGGTCATGTGGCCGGCATGACTGAACACCAAGGCGCACAGAACGCTGTTACCTTCCCACCGAAGTGGTACCTATTTATCTACTTGCAATGTCTTGCTTTCAAACTGCTAGGCTGGCAGGAGCTGGAACTAGAGACGGGAGCTCACTCCATCATGCGGCGCACTCGGGTCTCGAACTGCTGAACTACTGACCTTCCACAGCCTGCAGTTCAGCGTCTTAACCACTTGAGCCACCGCAGCTCCATAAGTAGAGGAAAGTAGGGTATAAAAAACTACTCTTCTTTCTTCTTCACTACCATCTGTCTGGACAATGAGTCATTTAATACAGTTCTCATGATTTACTTATCCTTGATAGAGAGCAGGCCCAGAATCCATGGAGGCTAGGAACCAAGTAAATGGAGATACAGGAAGGTCCATTTATTTCAAATGCTGTGGGAAACACAATCCTCTTCCTGGCCGGCCCACCCCCTCCCCTCCCTTCCCCCCGGCACTGGAAGGAGCCACCCCCCAACAAGCCCCACCCCCTTGGCTGGCTTCTCAGTTGCCCTTTGCATTCCCTGCACTGTCCGGCGCTGACGAACACGAGGACAGCAGCCGCTCCTCAGGGGCTCACCCCTTCCAACACTTTCCTGGTACTCACGCTACACTGGCCAACAGGGAAACATGCCGCTAATGCCCTGGGGGGGGGGGGGGGTTAGGCCCCGGGGGGGGGGGGGGGAGCTAGACCCAAGTGCCACAAGGGCGACGACAGGCCCGTCACGTGGCTGAAGAATGAGACTTAAATAGGAGCGTCATGTGGCTTAATGGGTGCCAGTCGTCACCGAGTGGTTCATCAGCCCACAGGTCGCCAGGCCCACGTCTCACGGGAGCCGTGCGCGGAACACGATCGATCCGGGAGGCGGGAGTTCACAGTTATATTGGGAGTCTTAGGCAGAAAGGCAGCCCGGAGCTGTCCGCTGGAGGGTCTCCGCATCATCCAGCCGCTCACGTCAGATACTGCACCACGAGGAACATGATCACGCAGGTCACCACCATCCCGCCGAGCATGAAGTACTTGTCCTGGAAGGCACGTTTCTCAATGAGCCGCATGACGGTGTTGGACAGGCCCAACATGTTGGCCACGTCCAGGATCTTCCTCTGGGTGCCCTGAGGAAGAAGAGGAGGAGATTGGATTTATACCCCACCCTTCAGTCGGAGTCTCAGAGTGGCTTGCTAACTCCTTTCCCTTCCCCACAACAGACACCCTGTGAGGTAGGCGGGGCTGAGAGAGCTCTGACAGAAACTGCTCTTTTTCAAGAACAGCTGTGCCAGAACTATGGCTTGCCCAAGGTCATCCAGCAGGTGCAAGTGGAGGAGTGGGGGAATCAAACCCGGTTCTCCCAGATTAGAGTCCGTGCACTTAACCACGACACCAAACAATTTTAAGTGGAAGAGTAGCCAGCGTCGCCTCCCGACGTTCTACGGGCAGCACTGGCGTTCCACCTTCCCAGTTGCAGGACACAACACCCTACAAAACATCACTCTCTGGCTACCAGAATCAATGTAATTCTGGGTAGAAGCCTTCGTGTGCAGGCACACTTCTTCGGATGCAGCGAAACCAGACTTCCTCAACCATTATATATAGGTGGGGAGGGGGTTTGTTGTCAGGAAGGGCGAGTAAAAGATGCATCAGTCTGTACCTGTGCAGGTTTCTTTGTGAGACTGATGGAATTCCATTCCGTGCAGCTTAACGTGGTGCCTTCCGTGAGGATAGATTCAGGTGAGTAGCCGTGTTGGTCTGAAGCGATAGAACAAAAGTTTGGCTCCTGGGGCACCTTGAAGACCAAGAAAGCTTTATTCTGGGTAGAAGCTTCCGTGTTGGTCTCAAAGGTGCCCCTGGACTCAAACTTTGTTCCACCGTCATATAGACGCCTCAGATTTGCATTATGTTCCGCCCGCCTTTGTCTTCTTTCCCTCCCGGCCACTTCCTGCTCCAGAAGGAGATGTGAATTTCTCTGCACTGTTCACGGCCATTTGCCCTGGCCAAAGGGCTTTTTTTGAAAAAAGACCCACTTGTTATTTTATTTTATTTGTTTAATAGTTATTTCAGTATTTTCATTGTCTACCTCCCAACTATTCAAGTCAGGATTGTCCTCAAACAAGACTAATAGAACATCTGTAAATAAATTTACTTTAAGCAAATATTATAGCATCAATATATTCTCCATTCATTTCTTAGATATTTTCCATTCATAAATTTCCATTATATTTTATCACTATGCGTAATATATATACAAAAATTAAACCTATGAATTTTGTTTATTACAGAAACAGAAAATTTAGTAGATATTGGAACTAGCAGGCATTTTTTTTAGCATCTTGTCTTGAGGGAACAATGGGGATTGTGAGAGATGGTTGACTTAACATTTATAAAGATTACAAATGTATAAATGAGCAAGCTGAATCTTAAAAAATATTACTAATGGATGGATGTACTTGAAAATTACATTATTCAGTGATTGATTAGAAGAAAAATGTAATTAGGCTTGGTTGACATGTTGCTGTTTAGAATATATTTAAAGTATAGGGAGTTACCTGGATGTATATTAAAACTATGTTATAGATATGTGTATTATTGTGAAAACCCAATAAAAAGTATATTAAAAAAAAGAAAAAAGAAACACTTCTAAAAGGGGGGGGGGACCTGTTGACACATCAGGGCTTCCACAACCTGAGTTAGAGAGCCACACAATTGTGGGCCGTGACCCAGAACTGTGTGACAGAGGCAGAGCAGATCGGCTCCACCCAGATGGCCACTGCCTGCCTAGATAAAGACTCCAAGGTAATGGGAAGCTGTTAGAACACCGTATCTTCCACCTTAAAAGGCCCCGGGGGGGGGGGGGGGAGCTAGACCCAAGTGCCACAAGGGCGACGACAGGCCCGTCACGTGGCTGAAGAATGAGACTTAAATAGGAGCGTCATGTGGCTTAATGGGTGCCAGTCGTCACCGAGTGGTTCATCAGCCCACAGGTCGCCAGGCCCACGTCTCACGGGAGCCGTGCGCGGAACACGATCGATCCGGGAGGCGGGAGTTCACAGTTATATTGGGAGTCTTAGGCAGAAAGGCAGCCCGGAGCTGTCCGCTGGAGGGTCTCCGCATCATCCAGCCGCTCACGTCAGATACTGCACCACGAGGAACATGATCACGCAGGTCACCACCATCCCGCCGAGCATGAAGTACTTGTCCTGGAAGGCACGTTTCTCAATGAGCCGCATGACGGTGTTGGACAGGCCCAACATGTTGGCCACGTCCAGGATCTTCCTCTGGGTGCCCTGAGGAAGAAGAGGAGGGGATTGGATTTATACCGCACCCTTCACTCGGAGTCTCAGAGTGGCTTACAATACCCTTTTCCTTCCCCTCCCCACAACAGACACCCTGTGAAGTAGAGAGCTCTGACAGAAACTGCTCTTTTTCAAGAACAGCTGTGCCAGAACTATGGCTTGCCCAAGGTCATCCAGCAGGTGCAAGTGGAGGAGTGGGGGAATCAAACCCGGTTCTCCCAGATTAGAGTCCGTGCACTTAACCACGACACCAAACAATTTTAAGTGGAAGAGTAGCCAGCGTCGCCTCCCGACGTTCTACGGGCAGCACTGGCGTTCCACCTTCCCAGTTGCAGGACACAACACCCTACAAAACATCACTCTCTGGCCATTACATTGATTCTGGTGGGTAGTCGCTTTGGTCTGAAGCAACAGAACACAGTTTGAGTCCAGGGGCACCTTTAAGACCAAAAAGGGTTTTATTCTGGGTATAAACATTTGTGTGCACGTGCACTTCTGGTAGAGAACAACGTCTTGAGTCCAGGGGCACCTTTAAGACCAACAAAGTTTAATTCTGGGTAGAAGCCTTCGTGTGCAGGCACACTTCTTCGGATGCAGCGAAACCAGACTTCCTCAACCATTATATATAGGTGGGGAGGGGGTTTGTTGTCAGGAAGGGCGAGTAAAAGATGCATCAGTCTGTACCTGTGCAGGTTTCTTTGTGAGACTGATGGAATTCCATTCCGTGCAGCTTAACGTGGTGCCTTCCGTGAGGATAGATTCAGGTGAGTAGCCGTGTTGGTCTGAAGCGATAGAACAAAAGTTTGGCTCCTGGGTGCCCTTGAAGACCAAGAAAGCTTTATTCTGGGTAGAAGCTTCCGTGTTGGTCTCAAAGGTGCCCCTGGACTCAAACTTTGTTCCACCGTCATATAGACGCCTCAGATTTGCATTATGTTCCGCCCGCCTTTGTCTTCTTTCCCTCCCGGCCACTTCCTGCTCCAGAAGGAGATGTGAATTTCTCTGCACTGCTTCCGTGAGGATAGATTCAGGTGAGTAGCCGTGTTGGTCTGAAGCGATACAACAAAAGTTTGGCTCCTGGGGCACCTTGAAGACCAAGAAAGCTTTATTCTGGGTAGAAGCTTCCGTGTTGGTCTCAAAGGTGCCCCTGGACTCAAACTTTATTCCACCGTCGTATAGACGCCTCAGACTTGGATTATATTCCTCCCGCCTTTCTCTTTCTTCTTTTCCTCCCGGCCACTTCCTGCTTCAGAAGGAGATGTGAATTTCTCTGCACTGTTCACGGCCATTTGCCCTGGCCAAAGGGCTTTTTTTGAAAAAAGACCCACTTGTTATTTTATTTTATTTGTTTAATAGTTATTTCAGTATTTTCATTGTCTACCTCCCAACTATTCAAGTCAGGATTGTCCTCAAACAAGACTAATAGAACATCTGTAAATAAATTTACTTTAAGCAAATATTATAGCATCAATATATTCTCCATTCATTTCTTAGATATTTTCCATTCATAAATTTCCATTATATTTTATCACTATGCGTAATATATATACAAAAATTAAACCTATGAATTTTGTTTATTACAGAAACAGAAAATTTAGTAGATATTGGAACTAGCAGGCATTTTTTTTAGCATCTTGTCTTGAGGGAACAATGGGGATTGTGAGAGATGGTTGACTTAACATTTATAAAGATTACAAATGTATAAATGAGCAAGCTGAATCTTAAAAAATATTACTAATGGATGGATGTACTTGAAAATTACATTATTCAGTGATTGATTAGAAGAAAAATGTAATTAGGCTTGGTTGACATGTTGCTGTTTAGAATATATTTAAAGTATAGGGAGTTACCTGGATGTATATTAAAACTATGTTATAGATATGCGTATTATTGTGAAAACCCAATAAAAAGTATATTAAAAAAAAGAAAAAAGAAACACTTCTAAAAGGGGGGGGGGACCTGTTGACACATCAGGGCTTCCACAACCTGAGTTAGAGAGCCACACAATTGTGGGCCGTGACCCAGAACTGTGTGACAGAGGCAGAGCAGATCGGCTCCACCCAGATGGCCACTGCCTGCCTAGATAAAGACTCCAAGGTAATGGGAAGCTGTTAGAACACCGTATCTTCCACCTTAAAGAGCCTGCCTTGGAATGAGATCAGCTGGGGCACGAACCAAGGTCAAGGGATGTTGGAACTGCACATTCGCACCTTTCTTTTGTATCGCCTGCTCAACCGGTTACCGTGCAGTGTGTGTGTGTGTGGACTTTTGCTCCAATAAGTGCCTTAATATTTTAATTACCGGTCGCTGTTCTCCATATCACTTCGACCTCCACTGTTCAAACAGGTTAGTCCAAATGGATGCCAGGGGAAGGGAAGTGGTTGGCTGCTGGATCACTAATTTCCCGGGAGGGAGCAAGCGCAGTGAGCTGTGGCAACCAGGCGCTGAGTACTGGGAGATGCTGGCACTAGGCGGGGCCATCGATCGGGAGCGTGGAAGAGGAGACAGAAGTTCTGGCACCCTCGGCATGTAGTTCCCAACACAACCCATTGGCGGCAGCATACGAAAGGAGAGACAAACCCCTCCAAGGGTCGGATGGTAGCACAAAGCGGCACCTGGGAAGTCAGTAAGGCTGCCCCACCACACCCTCCCTTCAGAGAAGTCTCCCTCCCAGAGATGTGAAAGCCCGGAGAAAAAACCCGGAAAAAATTGTGCCTTTTTTGTTTTTTTCCAAAAAACTGGACAAATTGAAAAAAAGAAAAAAAAAGAAAAAAATTTGATTATGGAACGTTTTATTTTAACATGATGAATAAAATATTTTAAGGCAAGGTGTTCAAATATTTTCCAGATCATTTCTAAAAAATATGTATGGTGTCAGATTGATCTAATTTCTGTGCACTGAGGACAAGCAAGTCCTAGGTTACAAACTGAACTCTCCAATGGAAGAACAAGACGCATTTCTTCCTTTAGGAGGTGCTGTTGTCACAAGAAAAGAAAAAGGTTTCAGTTTTGTTTTTGCATGTGGGTAGGTATTCTGTTTGGAATAACTGTTTGGCTCCACTATATTTTTAATATGCTAGTTGTGATAATTTCATGCCAAGTAAAAATGTCCATGATCATATTTTATGTTCCTAAAGTAACAGAATGCCTTTCAATCTGGAAAAGAAAAAAGAAGTGCTCACGTAGCATTTTTTTCAATTTTTCCAAAAATTTCTGTTTCCCGCCGAAAAAAACCGGGGGGGGGGAAACGGGTTTTTTCCCAAGCTTCAAAATTTCTGGGAAATTTTACATCTTTTCTCCCTCCAGCAATGAACAGCCTGGTGGAATCAAAAACCTGGCTGGGCTGTGAAGTAAATAGCCTAAAGGGTTGGGTGGGGGCTGGAAACTGCCATCACCCGTCTCCTCCAACATCCAAACGCGTTGTGTGTCTGGGGATATCTTTTTCACGTGATAACAGGTTTCTGACGCTAGGCCTCTTTGCACAGACAGAAGGAAAAGCATTTTAAATGTGAATCGGAATAATGTGCTTTATACTTGTTTTGTGTTGCGTTCCCACGCGGTGTTAACACAAGCGAAGAGCCCAATTTAGCTGTGCTGCTATATTATATAACTAGAGCTGGCCCTTGCTGGCCTGCTGTAGAGACTACAGAACATTCATGCATCTTCTAGCAGTGGGGAACTCACTGAATGCTGAACACCAAAGCAACTGCAGCAGGTGACGGGAAGGCCAACGTGGGTGGAGGGGAAGAAAACACGGAACTTAAGGGGATGCAGAGACACGGAGGCAGGACAGATACATAAACACAGGCCTTGTGAGGAGGGCTCTGAGGGTAGTGGAACTAAAGGGACAGGGATGCCAGGAGGCGGGGTGACTGAAGGGAGGGCGGAGCCAGCATCAAGCAGAGAAGAAGGAATCCATCAAAGGGAAGGTCAGGTAGAGGGAACAGCAATCCGTGGAGAGGTGGCATGAAGGAGTCAAGAAAGAGGAGGACGGGAAGACCAATGAGAAACGGATGCTGGAGAAAACCTTACAGGCAAGCAAAGGACGGTCTTAAGCTTTGGGAACCACTGGCATGGAGGATCCTGTCTCAGGACAGGTTTGGGGTAGGGCAGGCAACCTCCAGAGTCTCTTGTAGCTTTACAAGTACCCTGACACTCTTAAAGAGTCGGTATGACTCCCTTCCCGGAAATAGCTTAGAAACACTCGGCTCAGATCGGCAGAAATGCACATCACAAGTACCACGTCTTCAAAGAGCAGAACTATTAACGTTCACAACTCCTGAAATTCAGGTTCTCTGTGCAGAATTCCAGTGCAGTGGCAGATGTTTCCTCCTCTGCTCTTCCAGCTAAAATTACTCAGAGAGCAGTTGTAATGTCGGCTCTGCGCTATCCAGAACAGGGTGGGGAAGGAAGGGAGAGAAAGAGGAGAAGAGCTAGTTTTGGGTAGAAGAAGTAGAAGAAGAGATTGGATTTATAACCCGCCCTTCACTCGGGAGTCTCAGAGCGGCTTACAAACTCCTTCCCCGTCCCCTCCCCACAACAGACACCCTGTGAGGCAGGTGGGGCTGAGAGAGCTCTGAGAGAACTGTCCTTGAGAGAAAGAGCTCTGACAGAACTATGGCTCGCCCAAGGTCACGCCAGCGGATGCAAGTGGAGGAGGGGGAATTAAACCTGGTTCTCCCAGATTAGAGCTTGTACACTCAACCACTACACCAAACTGGCTTTCAGGTATCAGTGGGTATCGGTGGTTCTGAATGCTAGAAATCTGTCAAATCCTGTGCACACCCTCACTGCACAGGAAAACGCTCCCGCTCCCGTTCTGTGCCCACCTTTAGTGTCACTTTCTGATCCCTCAGGCCCTGCAGGATGCTGGTTCCGCTGCCAATAAGATCGTCCATGCCACGGTGCGCGTTTTGGAGGGACTCATTAAACTGTAACGTTTCGTCAATGGGGATGGTGGTGTCAGAATCCTGCGGAGGAGGGGGGAAAGGGGAGCATCTCGGTTACCGTGCGCCTCAGAGCACTGGGCCCAAAGCGCGAGGGGGCCAGCAGCAGCCCAAGGAGGTCGACATTTGCCTACTGCAGTGAAGTCTGAACTTCCTTCCTCTCATGGAACCTTTTTCGCATTAGGCCGTGCATGCCAGAGAATCCCCACACATTCCACGGAGTGCTGCAGGCAGAGCATACCAGAAAGCCTTGTGGTTCCCAGCTTTCACGACACGCACAGCACCTGGCCCCCCCCAATGCGCTAAGCTCCGCTGCGCAATCATGCTTTGAAAAAGACTGGCAATGGTCAGCCAAGCGTCTTCTTGCAAGCCTGCCCAGAACTTCCCAATGCCAAACCCCAAGTGCTCCTCCAAATCCAATTTGATGAGAGATGACTAACATTTAGAAGGGGGGGGGGACAGCAGCATGAACCCGCTGGGCAGAACGTACATTCGTGGTAAACGTCCGGGCCAGAAGTTCCTCGCGCTGCCTTTCCTGCTGCTCCCGCGTATAGCGTCGATGCTGGAAGTTTCTCAGGGCTGTCTGCAAGTGCTGGATATCATATTTCAACTGGTCGACTCGGCTGGAAATGAAGGTCACAGGAAGGAAGCAAAGGCGGATGAGTGCCGATGAAAGCAAGGGCCATGGTGACCGCTGACACTTCTTCTGGAACCCACCAAGTTTTTTAGAAAGTGGGCATGGCGGGGGGGAGGGACACAACCAGAGGTCATTTCGTAGGAAAAGAGGGGCAGGAGCTCATTAGCATAACTCATTTGCATATGCCACACCCCCTGACATCACCGGAAGTGTGTCAGAAGGCAACACCCACCGCTCAGGCTCCACTGTACTGTTTTGGATGGCTAGCTATTGGGGGGGAGGGGAATGTGCAGATCTGTCCTCGCAGAGGAGGGAGAGCTTGTACCTGAATAAAACTTGGTCTTAAATGTGCCACTGGACTGTTTTGCATTGCTAGCTATTGGGGGGAGGGGAAACGTGTAGATCTGTCCTCGCAGACGAGGGAGAGCTTGTACCTAAAAAAACCTTGGTCTTAAAGGTGCCACTGGACTGTTTTGGGCCGGGGGGGGGGGCGCTGCACCTTACCTGGCTGCTTCTTGCTCTGACTGAGGGCTGCTGGGAGCAGGGGGTGGGGCTTGTTGCATGTGCCCGCCCCCTGGGGGAGCTCTGCATCTTACCTGGCTGCTTCTTGCTCTGACTGAGGGCTGCTGGGAGCAGGGGGTGGGGCTTGTTGCATGTGCCCGCCCCCTGGGCTCTTTACTGCTGGAGCTCCGCTCCTGTGCGCTCCTGCAGGAAATGACCCCTGGACACAACTACCCAGTGGAACTTCTAATAAGCCTTGAGGATCTGACTGGCGGTACAGATTAAAATGCCATTGCTTCAGTACAAGCTGCCACAGCAGTGTTTATTTTATGCTCTCTCTCCTCTTTCCCAGTGCCTTTTTTAACAACTACTCTTCTCGTCCGCTGGACTGGAGCTTCCTCCATGTGTGTCTGCCTCCCAGTGGCCATTTTGTGGTTGTGTCCACCACCCAGGGTCAGAATTCCCAGGGTTCCCACAGGCTCAAACAATTTGGGGACCCCTGCCTTACAGTGATTCCCTTAGAAGGATGTAATGCAGCCATGTCCAGTGAAGTGCAGGACCTGACCAAGGGATGACTTTATGCCTGTTGCTAAATGCAGGAGCCTTCCCCCATGTCAAGCAATTGGTCTACTCTGACTGGCAGCAGTTTGACTTTGATATTATTATTTTTTTTGCCAGCAGGACACAAATACCCTGTTAATACAACAGGTTCCCATGAGAAATTTTTCAATGAAAGTAGTACTGTATTCTTGGTGCTGGGGTGTGTGTGTGGGGGCACCAATAGGAGGGCTTCTGGAGTTCTGGACCCACTGGTGGACCTCCTGATGGCACCTGGTTTTGGCAACTTTGGGACTCAAGAGTGTGGGACAGAATGAGCCATTGGCCTGATCCATCATTGGCTTCTCTTATGTTCTTAAGTAAAAGGTGTCTGAGACTCAACTCAGGGCCTTCTCTGTGGTATCCCCAGTCTTATAAAACCAGCCAGCCATCACATCCACTTCAGTCTGCAGTTAGTGTAAAACACTGTCAGCAAGCTGCTAAATTCCCTTTTCTTCTGTGTTTCACATGTATGCGCTTAATTGCTTTTGAGTCCCCATGTAGACCTGTTGATGCGCTTAATTGCTTAGCTGCTGGAATGTGTATATCTCTCAAGGCCACAGGTGGTTTGCTGCTAGATAGTTGCTTGGGTGATCTCACGGAGAGTCGTGGGAAGGAAATATGTTATGCCGCCTAGAAGCATTTGCTCCCAGGCCCGATGGCGTGCGTGGGAAGTCCCGCAATTGGGCCTCACCAGTTCGAATGTACTATAACCTGTCATACTCATTGCTTACCCCTCATTCCTAACAGTGATCCTGTACATGCACCTATAGCTTCAAATAAAGTAAAACCTTTCTACAAGAGTGTACTTCATTGATGCTGTGGGAAAGCCTGACAAACACCTGCTGGCCATCTTTATTTAATTCGGGATTCCACCTGCCAGAGTTGCTCAAATTTATTTGTGATCTCCTTTTTCCAGACTGGCCCGATCTTGCCAGATCTGAGAAATGAAGTAGGGTTAGTATTTGGATGGGAGACCAACAGCCTTGTCTAGGATTGCTACGCTGAAGCAGGCAATGGCAAGCCACCTCTGAACATCTCCTGCTGCCTTGAAAAACCCTATGGGGTTGCCATAACTTGGCAGAAACTCGATGGCAAAAAAAAAAAAGTTAGTTTACTTAAGTGCTTTATCATCAACTATGAGTTTTTTGGAAATTAGTGGGACACAAATCATGTATAATTAACCAAACAATACATAAATGAAAGGTTGTAGCCATGTTAGATCAGGCCAATGGCCAATCCAGTCCAACATTCTTGTGTCACACAGTGGCCAAAACCCAGGTGCCCTCAGAAGGTCCACCAGCAGGGCCAGAACTCCAGAAGCCCTCCCACTGTTGCCTCCCCAAGCACCAAGAACACAGAGCATCACTGCCCCAGACAGAGTGTTCCATCTATACTTTGTGGCTAATAGCCACTCATGGGTCTTGGCGTCATGTTTATCTAATCCCCTCTTGAAGCTGTCTATGCTTGTAGTTGCCACCACTTCCTGTGGCAGTGAATTAGTACTGTACATGTCATGTATGGGTGTGCATATATATTCAGGAGATATTCGTGTTCTTTGGGAGCAACTCAAATCATGGGAATAAAGAAGACACTTGGGAGAGCTGGGAGGATAACTCACAGTTTGGCATTCTGGCGCTTATTCGGAGGTTCCTTGTTGCAAAAAATCTCCAGTCGTTCCAGGTTGCTGAAGATGCTGTCTATCCTTGCCTGAATCTCATTTTCCACCACTGGGCAAAGGGGAAAAGGACAAGTAGTATCAGAGCTAGACGATCACGTGTTGGCTTAACAGGTGCAATACTTTGCTGCCGATCCTCTGCCTGCTTTTGAGTGCAAAGTCTGCTCATGCTGTGCGAAGCAGGGACAGCACAGTAACTTCAACGGGGCTTACTGGAGGAAATAAGCAGGAACTGTTTCACAAAGCATCTTTTCTTATAATTTTCAGATTTGTCTGCGTTTTAAACTGCTCTCAGCTGCTTCGGGAGCCAGTCTCCAGCTGAAAGGTAGGATGACTGTACAGTTAAATACTTCCAGGGCTATTTTTGGGCAGGAACGCACAGGAACGGAGTTCCGGCTGGCTCCTGAGTTGGCCACACCCAGCAGGAACTCATTAGCATCACAGGCCACACCCAACAGCAGACACTCATTAGGATTGGTTACATTAGGGGTGTGTGGCCTAACATGCAAAGCAGTTCCTGCTACAAAAAAAGCTCTGGGTTTTGACAACAAACAAGGCAAACAGAATAACAAGCAAAAGAGGTGTGTGGCTGGATAACCACACTTCTGGTAACATTGGGGTGTGGCCTAATATGCTCATGTGCTTTGCTGTCAAGGGCGTGGCCTAATATGCTAATGAGTGCTGTTGGGTGTGGCCTATTATGCTAATGAGTTCCTGCTGGGCTATTTCTACCAAAAAAGCCCTGAATACTTCTAATTAACATCAACCCCGCACTACAAACGTGGACATTTTTAGGGCACTGACTCATAGTCTAGAAGAGGTTCCCAACCTTTTCAAGCCTGCAAGCACCTCTGACATTCTGATGCAACATGGTGAGCTCAGCCACAAAATGGCTGTCATAAAATGGCCATTGCGGGTTACCTTCAACCGCACAGTGAAGACCCTCGGGCAGTGGGGGCAGCTGCTACCAAAGCAATGTTTTTAAAAACCGCACAGCCAATCAATTCTCCAATGGCCAATCAGAAGCCTCGCTGGGCAAAAGCCACACCTGGCCCCACCCTCTTTCTCAAAACACTTGGCGGGCTCCAGGAAAGGTGCCCATTGGCACCGCGTTGGAGACCTGTAGTCTAGAGAATGACTCCATAAAGAAACAGAGGGTTCACACACGTCACAGTATAAGTGTCGCGGATAAAGCAGATTTTAATACACAAATGCTCCTGCTATATATACCTGCAGTGCCACGAGATAAATGTGATTTAGAAGAACAAAACATACCACAGATAAAAATCACTTTCAACCAGGATTCTAAACAAGCTACCTTGTTCGCATCTGCAGCATCCACGGTTTTTCCATGGGAGTTTGGGTGGGTGCTGTGCCCCATCTTAGTGCTGCTGGTGGTACTTTACCCCAGAATGCATGAAAGCTGCACATCCTGACTCCGTGGCTGCTCTTGTGCGCCTGAGAAGGCGGAACGCCTCTTGTAAGAGGGCCCGTTGTACTTGCTGGCTCTGAGCAGACACACGTCGCAAAAGGTTTCCCCTAAGATGAGGAGGGGGGATGAATACCTCTTTTAAAATGGTGCCTACTGCTCACAGGGTGCATTGGGCGTGCACTGTGCCATGCAGAAAAGGCAATTTATTCCTTTGGCAGATTAATGAAGACAGAAATCCCCACGACCCATTACTTTTTTTTTTAAATACACTTTCCAAACGCCACACACACACCCTAATAAAACCACACCTCTGCTATAAATCAAACTCAATTTCACAGCTTGCCAGGGTTTCGGAAAAGAGCAGGAGACAAGTCTGATTCGTGCAGAACAGCAAATGGCATCTCAGAGATGGTGATCAGAGCAAACTGCGCTTAGGAAGCCCATCCCAGAGACAGGAGACCAAGCCGAGAGTGCGGTTTCCCTCTTCTGCTGATTACTCACAGTGGACTGACTGCTTGTCTGAAGTCTCGAGTCGGCCCATGTACGACTGGACCTCGTGGACCTGCCTGTTGAAAAGAAGAAAGGCGGGAAATAGGACAGTTCCAGGCAGTCAGTCGCTGCTCCAACAGGAAAAGAAGGCTATTTCAAGAAGGCAAAACGCTCAGAGGAAAAGGATTCTTGCAGACAGAGCAAGAGGGGAACTGATGCCCCCAGCATCCCAGTGCAAATACAACAAAGGGCAGTTTTCAAGCGGAGGCTGGATGACCATCGAAGAAAAGGATTTTTGCGGACAGAAGAGGGGAACAGATGCCCCCAGCATCCCAGTGCAAATACCACACAGGGCAGTTTTCAAGCGGAGGCTGGACGACCATCTTTCAAGTATGTTGTAGGCAGGGCTATTTTTGGGCAGGAACGCACAGGAACAGAGTTCCGGCTGGCTCCCAAGTTGGCCACGCCCAGCAGGAACTCATTAGCATAATAGGCCACACCCAACAGCAGAAACTCATTAGGATTGGCTACATTAGGGGTTTGTGGCCTAACATGCAAAGGAGTTCCTGCTACAAAAAAAGCCCTGGGTTTTGACAACAAACAAGGTAAACAGAATAACAAGCAAAAGGTGGGTGTGGTTGGATGACCACACTTCTGGTGATGTGGGGGTGTGGCCTAATGTGCTAATGAGCTGCCCTGGTTGTAGGTATGTAGGGCTATCTTTCGGCTATGCTCCTGAAGGGTGCAGAGGGTAGGACTAGATGACCTGCAAGGTCCCTTCCAACACTAACGTTCTATGATTCTACTGGGTATTTACACAGCGCTTTCCCCCATTGCTTCTCATACATCTTTACGAACAGCTCTCTCTGCACACCTCCCTGACAGAACAAAGGACTGAGGCTAGGGGGCAGTGGACCCTCACAGCTAACCTCCAGAGACATCAGGATTGGAGCGGGATGGCAGTGCTGTTGTTGTTGGACCTGTCAGCGGTGTTCGACATGGTTGACCATCAGCTACTGATCCACCGCCTCGCCGACACTGGGATCCAGGGGCTTGCATTGCAATGGCTTGTCTCCTTCCTCCACGATCAGGGACAAAGAGTAGCGCTCAGGGATCAGATGTCCCGAAGGCACCCACTGATCTGCGGTGTGCCTCAAGGGGCAGCGCTCTCCCCGATCTATAGGCGCCCCCTTGCCCAGATTGCCCGGAGGAATGGGCAGTATGCAGATGACACCCAGCTATATCTGTTGTTGGGCAGCCAGTCTGACTCTACCCCGGAAGATCTGGACCAGGCACTGCAGGACATGGTGGCTTGGCTTAGACTGAGCCGATTGAAATTAAATCCAATGAAGACTGAGGTCCTGTGCCTGAGTCGGAGTGGACCTGGGGTAGGGACCCCACTACCAGCCTTTGATGTGGCACCGTTGGTGCCAGCGCCAAGGGTTAGGAGTTTGGGAGTGCTTCTGGATGCCTCCTTAACGATGGAGGCCCAGGTAGCAGCCACTGCCAAGGCAGCCTTTTACCATCTTCAGCTGATCAGGCAGCTGGTTCCCTTTCTCAAACGCAATGATCTGGCAACAGTGATCCACGCAATGGTCACCCCGAGACTAGACTACAGCAATGCTCTCTACATGGGGCTGCCTGGTGCAAAATGTGGTGGCCAGGTTGTTGGTGGGCCTCCCTATGCGGAAGCACATCCAACCTGTGCTGAAGGCACTGCATTGGCTGGCAATGGCATACCGGATTGGCTTCAAGGTGCTGGTTTTGACCTTTAAAGCCCTATATGGCCTGGGGCCTGCCTAAGGGATTGCCTTTCCCCACATGTTCCCCAGAGAGCACTACAATCAGGGTCCCAAAATCACTTGGCTCTTCCAGGATAGCAGTGACGAGGGCCAGGGCCTTTTCTGTGGCAGCTTCACACTGGTGGAGAAGACATCAGGGTGCCTGTTGTGGGGTGGGGAAGGGAAAGGAGATTGTAAGTGGCTCTGAGACTCCTTTGGGTAGTCAAGGGCGGGGTATAAATCCAATCTCTTCTTCCTAGTTCAACAGTCAAACGACTATACCACACTGACTCTGGCGGCCCCAGTCCAGAAATCACATTCTGCCCAACCCAAAGGAGGCACGTTTCAGTCAAGACTCTCCATGACCGACAACAAGATCAAGGCGCGAATCCCTGCTCTGCATGGAAGCTTGCTGAGGGCCTGTCGCGCACTAGCCTTCCTCACAGGGTTCTTGTGAGAATATAAGAGGAGTGGAGAATACTGTCAGGCGCGTTAGGTCGGGGGGGATGTGGTGCAATTGACATACCTGAGGGACCGCCTTTCCCCATACATACCCCAGAGAGCACTACGGTCAGGGTCTCAGAATCAACTGACCCTCCCTGGTCCTAAGGAAGCCAGGCTCACTACCACCAGGGCCAGGGCCTTTCCAGGGGCAGCTCCATACTGGTGGAATGAGGTTCTAGAAGAGATCAGGGCTCTGTGGGACCTTCCACAGTTCTGCAGGGCCTGCAAGACGGAGCTCTTCCAACAGGCTTTCAACTAGTAGCCGCCCCCCACTATCACCACCAACTCTCGGCTTCAACGGCCGGCTTGCGTGAAGAGCACCGAGAAACTGAAAAACTTATTAACAAGTACACCGCCTTGTATAATCAGCGAAACATCAACAGCACTTATCAGTACTATTACTGACATTGAATGGTTTTATGACAATTTTGTCGGATTTTAACTGCTATCTATGTATTACGTATAATGTTTTAATGAATGTAAGCTGCCCTGAGCCCGCGTAGCGGGGAGGGCGGGGTATAATCTGAATAATAAATAAATAAATGATTTTTTTTAAGTCTATATATTTTTTCCATTAAAAAAAGCCCCCCTTCTTCCACATGTCCGCTAAGCAGCCCTAAGGTGAACCACTGCCTCCCCAATACTTCACTGGATCGTGGACCTGTTCCCTCTAAGATGAGTTAGTGTGAGCCAGCTCATGGTTTTTTAGCCTCCGGCTCACACATTTTTGTCTCAGCTCAGGAAGGAGGGCTCCAGAGCAGACTAATTTATGCAGCAGCCAAATGGCTCGCTCACAACTTTAATGCCGGCAGCTCACAAAGTAGAATTTTTGCTCACAAGACTCCACAGCTTAGAGGGAACACTGATCTCTGTGCAGGTTGTTTTGCACAGATTACCAGGTGTAACGTGAACACTTTTCGTGCACTCCAGAAACGCTGAAATGACTGCTGACCTCCCCC